TGTTTTCAGGGAAACGCGTGTCCTAAACCACTCAGCTCCCGTCCAACCTCTTGTCTTTATTATCTGCTGCGAGGTGCCTCCAAATGCGGCATGTACAGGCTTTATGACTACAACGGAAACAGTTACCCAGCGTACTGTGATCTGACATCTGAGCCTGGTACCGCTTGGACACTGGTGATGTCATGGAGTGTTGCTAATAGCAAGCTTTCCCAGTTTCGTACTCTTCCTTTCAAGTACAACGCACCACTAAACGAGAACTTCCTGAACTGGAATATATACCGCTTGAATTTGGCCCGAATGAAAACCCTAAGGACTCACTCTACCCACTGGCGAGTAACATGCAGCTACCCGACCCTTGGCGTCGATTTCAGAGACTACCTCCGCGGCAATTTCAAAGACTTCAACATCTTTGATTTTGTGGGTGTTGGCACGTGCAAGAAGGTTGACTACATCAACATCCGGGGATATAGAGGATTCCATCTCACGGCACCGTTCTGGCAGAAGGACAATACATGGAATTTTCACATTGACAGTAGCCTGAGCACCAGCTGTGACTTTAAGGCCGCGAAGACTGGTGCGGTTTTCAGTGAGGACAACTTTGGCTACTATGGGTTCATCAACTCCAAGTTCCGATGCACACAGGGTACCCACTCGACCACCCAGTGGTGGTTTGGAGCTCATCTCTAATCTTTACAGAGATGAAACAACCACAGCAGAGGTCACAGGACTGAAACACTGTTCCTCGATGATTGAAAACAGAATCTTGTAATTTGTTTCATGATGATTTGAAATAAAAGTGTTGAAAACAGTCAACCAAAGTGTACAACACTTTTACTTTTTCATGAACATGCCAGCTAAATAAAATAACGCAAGACTTAATTTAAATTTGTAAACAAAAAACTTTTTCACCGGTTTTATTGATAAATTCTTTATAACAGGCAAAGTTTTATCTGTAAAAACTGCCAAACCGAATTTCGTAGCCTTCTTTCGGTTGTCGGTAACCACCTCTTCGTTTATTTTTGAACTTCTTCCTTTGTTACGTCAGCAAACCCTGAAGCCATTTTGTGGCTAGCCACTTCCACTTCAGTGAGTGATTGTTATTTGGCCGAAATTCACTCAATTAACAGATTATTGTTATTATTATTATTATTATTATTAATGCTATCATTTTAATTTTAATTTTTTTTGCCACTCCGTTTCCGTCGTTTTAAAAGTTGGAGCCTCTCAAACTTGACTTTCTCGTTATAACTGGAATACTGCTCAATTGATTATAAAAGTCATAAGAATAGAGGAAATGATCAGCAAAGATAAGTGAAGATATTGATTTGTAAGCAAATTCTCATCACTAGTACCATAGTTATTAACAAATGCGTGAAAAAAAGCGACAGGAGCATATGTTTTTCAATTATTAAGGCCTAAAGGATCGGCTTTTATCGTCCGATCAATCCTTGTTCCTCTCTCCTTTGTTACGTTTCGGTTTGTTCTAGGTCCCTGACACCCTTACTGATGTCCCCTAGACCATAGTTATTTAAGGAGACTGGTTATGAAAAGCGGCAAACATCAATGATAAAAACAACAGTGCTGCAGTTTATGTTGGAAGCACCCTGAAAGTGCACAATCCTTTGTTTTCTGTTGGCAAATTGTTACGGAATAAATTAATGTAACGTTTTTATTGGTCAATACAATCAAAATGATAGGAATTCTTTTGAACGTTGTGCACTTTCAGGTCCACAAAAACATATAACAAAGGGAGTCTGACGGGTTTCATAACCATTCCACTCAATTAACTATGCCTAGACCCTCTACAGTTTCAGTTATTTGTCGTGTTGTTCTTTCTGTTTAACTAATCCTCGGATAACCACCGCCTCGTCGCAAAACGCAAAGTTGCGACAACCGGCTACTGTTCATTCAGTTTTATATGGATAAGATATTAAGTACAGGTATATTGGTGATATAAGATTTTGCGTGGGTGCTTACTTGAGAAGACTACTACTCATCGACAAAATGAACGTTTATTCTGACATGGATTAATATTTTGGGAATTGGCAAAGAAGCGATCTAAGCGTCGTGGCCTTGGTTCGCATCAATTCACCTGTATCTTTGTAAGTGATTCGCGTTTTTATAAAGTGCGGTTAATATCGCCTGGGGCTCGAGTAAAGAAGATATACTGTAAAAGAAAATCGGATCGGTTTGTCCCTTTTTGCTATGCTATTTTTTTAATCTCCCAGGTGATTTTTAAATACCCGGCAAAAAAGTAGTAAAGTTTGATAATAAGAAATAATCACATAGAGTCAGGAATGGAGTTTTGTTACGGTCTAAAAAAGTTGCGCAGTTTTAATGTGTACATGTTTAAGAGATTATTTGGATTGTACAAGTGAAGGCCTTAAAAAAGACTTGAAAAAAGCTCGTCTACGCTGCTCAAGAAGCATTGTTCCTCGCAACTTAATAAAAATGCAAGTTCAGATACTCTTTAAAGCGCAAAGATGCCGATTATTGCTTTTAGCGGTTTTCTTTCATTCAGTTTTTCAAGGCAGAATTTCGGCTTCTTTCCCATATATTTGTTTCACTGCTTTCTAAGTCAAATTCATTCCGCGCGTTTTGCCCGATTCACACCTCTTTTTCTCATCATGCAAATTGATCCACTTGATTAGTGTGCGAAGACTCCTAAAACACTACAGGGTCTNGCCTTGGTTCGCATCAATTCACCTGTATCTTTGTAAGTGATTCGCGTTTTTATAAAGTGCGGTTAATATCGCCTGGGGCTCGAGTAAAGAAGATATACTGTAAAAGAAAATCGGATCGGTTTGTCCCTTTTTGCTATGCTATTTTTTTAATCTCCCAGGTGATTTTTAAATACCCGGCAAAAAAGTAGTAAAGTTTGATAATAAGAAATAATCACATAGAGTCAGGAATGGAGTTTTGTTACGGTCTAAAAAAGTTGCGCAGTTTTAATGTGTACATGTTTAAGAGATTATTTGGATTGTACAAGTGAAGGCCTTAAAAAAGACTTGAAAAAAGCTCGTCTACGCTGCTCAAGAAGCATTGTTCCTCGCAACTTAATAAAAATGCAAGTTCAGATACTCTTTAAAGCGCAAAGATGCCGATTATTGCTTTTAGCGGTTTTCTTTCATTCAGTTTTTCAAGGCAGAATTTCGGCTTCTTTCCCATATATTTGTTTCACTGCTTTCTAAGTCAAATTCATTCCGCGCGTTTTGCCCGATTCACACCTCTTTTTCTCATCATGCAAATTGATCCACTTGATTAGTGTGCGAAGACTCCTAAAACACTACAGGGTCTTGTACTTTGTTACAATTCTTTGACCCACTGAAAGACTGTTGTGTCCCTAAACAGATTAAAGGTGAGCTCCAATCCACCACTGGGTAGTGGATTGGTCTCCCTGTGTGCGGCGGAATTTGTTGCTGATGCCGTCTTGGTACCAGCCAAAGTTGTCTTCACTTGACGCCGCACCAGATTTCGCCGTCTTGAACTGACAGTGGGTGTAAGTACTGTCGATATGCAATATCCATGTAGTTAGCCTCTGCCAGAAAGGCGCCGTCAGGTCCGTACCCACGTGTCCCCGGATGTTGACGTATTCCACTTTCTTGCACTGGCATTCTCCAACGAAGTCAAAGATGTTGAAGTCCTAGAAATTTCCACGGAGGTAGTCTCTGAAATCGATAACGTGGGACGGGTAGCTGCATGTTGCTCGCCAGTGAGTAGAGTGAGTCTGTAGGAATCTCATTCGCGCCAGACAAAGGCGGTAAAGATCCCAGTTAAGGGCGTCTTCGTTTTGTGGGGAATTGTACTTGAAGGGGATTTTGAAAAATGCTGAGAGCCTTCGATTTACGGGAGTCCATGACATCACCATAGTCCATGCAGTGTCTAACTCGGACTTTATGTCACAGTAAGCTGCGTAACCTTTTCCAGTCTGGTCGTAAAGTTTGTATCTGCCACTTTGGGAGATCCTACGGCGCAGATAATCAAGGCAAGAGTTTGGACGGAATCTAATTGGCTTCTTTGGTTCCTTTTGCTGCTTTATGGTTTTGGTAGAAGAAGCAACATCCTAGTGGAGAGAATGAATAAGACTTTCTAAAGCATGATTTGTCAAATACTGAATTTGCTGCAGAAAATAGATCAGTTGTCTTGTGATCTGGTCATTTTAGTTAAGAAGGGTTACTTAATCCTATCATGACCCTTTCGAGAGAAGACGACAGGGAGGCCATCGAAACTCCAACAGTGAACAGGGACACTGGTTAGGAGCTCCTCGCGATCGACCGTGACGACTTGTCACTGTATAAATCACGTGACAAAAGATCCAACTCCATCACTTGATAAAGATTCCGAGATGGAATCGAAAGCTTGTGTTGCTAATAAGTTTTCTATCCTGGGATTTGAAACCTCATTTACTTTAAACTGATCATATATTTTTAGTGTCAATTTCTGCTACAAAGTACGAACGGTCTTTTTTTTCGGTCTGATTTTAAGGAAAAGCACTTTGTTTCTACGAAGGGGAAACAAGAATACTATTGTGTCAGTTTTAAGACATTTTACCTGCGAATTGTGTCCATGTGAATTGTACCCAGTTATCTTGACGTGTGAACGATACACGTTTATATCACGTTTGTCCAGTCCTTCATCGCTAGCAACTTCTGCTCCCTGAAAAAGAAAAAAATGAAAGAGAAGGAGGAACGAAAAACGAGCAACACTTGGATACGGGCAGCCGTGAATGAGTACTGGCTGTTTAAGATTTCAGATTTCGTTTTGGCCGAGTTGAGCACAACATTACTTTCCATAGAGCACCATTCCAGGTTAAGTTCGGTAAGGGAAGAAAGCCTACGATTCACCGCAGTCTGTCTCGTTTCATTTGGTTCCACGGGTGAACTGACTGATTCTGGGCTCGAGACGAAAAGGTCAGTAATCAAAATTATGCGTTTGCAAACTCCTAATCTGAGATTTTAAAACGTTTTCTCTTACACTGATAATTCGTTTCNCAGTTTTAAGACATTTTACCTGCGAATTGTGTCCATGTGAATTGTACCCAGTTATCTTGACGTGTGAACGATACACGTTTATATCACGTTTGTCCAGTCCTTCATCGCTAGCAACTTCTGCTCCCTGAAAAAGAAAAAAATGAAAGAGAAGGAGGAACGAAAAACGAGCAACACTTGGATACGGGCAGCCGTGAATGAGTACTGGCTGTTTAAGATTTCAGATTTCGTTTTGGCCGAGTTGAGCACAACATTACTTTCCATAGAGCACCATTCCAGGTTAAGTTCGGTAAGGGAAGAAAGCCTACGATTCACCGCAGTCTGTCTCGTTTCATTTGGTTCCACGGGTGAACTGACTGATTCTGGGCTCGAGACGAAAAGGTCAGTAATCAAAATTATGCGTTTGCAAACTCCTAATCTGAGATTTTAAAACGTTTTCTCTTACACTGATAATTCGTTTCTATCATTCTATGACTTATCCTTTTTGTTGCAATTGTCAATGTTCTCAAACAAATTTTCCGTTCACCTTATATTTAATCGATTTAGTCGCCCTTAAGACAATACAGTTAACCCCCCCCCCCCCTAGGGACACTCGCTTAATATGGACACCCCGTTAATACGGAACCGGGTTTCGCTGTATAATTACAATTGTTAACAAATTTTAATTGGTGCATGGTTACCTATTGTGGTTTTTAACGT